AAAAAAAAATAAGGCCCGGCCTTATTATGTGAGAAACACGGTATTTCCTCCCAACAGCAGTGTAAAAAGCTTAAAATAACCTTTACCCTTTAAGGAAAAAAAAAAAAACCTCCTTCGGAGACAGTAAGTCTAGGCTGTCTGCCAAGAATGTAATAAGGATGGAAAAAAACAAAAGGAGATTTCTTCTAACTACCAGTTCTCCAAACTGCTTAGAAAGTTAACAAGGGGTTCTATAGAACCGGTCAGAACCAGTAGAATCCCAGCCCTGTTAACAACTGAAATGATTTACTTAACAGCTATAGTAAGGGAAGTCATAAATGGGGCAAATCTCTCTTAATAACTTAGCAACTGAAACGTTGGGCTCAGTTGTAGTCATAAGTCGAGGACTATCTGCATTCCATGGCTATTTGAAAAGACTGCTTGATTAAAATTGTGAAAGAGATGTGTTTGTTTTGCCTCAAATGAATTTATTAAAGGTTTTCATTGTTTTCAGCAAGAGGTTCTTGATGGCTACGCTTTCTACTGTTTTTAGTATTTTGGGAGGGAGACAGGACTTCTTTCCCTACTTTTACAACTTTTGTGTACTCCGCTGGCTACTTTCAGGCATTACCAACTATATCCCCTAGCTCTGAGTACTGCTATTACTTGTACCAACTACTACTAAATTCTTTCATCTGTTTATCCGTTTGTCACCTTCAATTAATAGAAACAATGCATCACAGGGCAATGTTTTTTTGAATCAAGTTACCTAACTAATTTGCTAACTTAAAGAATGTGTATCAAGCCGGCATCTGTTGCTTCTATGTACATCAGTGGACCTACTGATGGACTTTTAAGAACCTAATCGATGGATCCATTGATGGACTTTTGAGAAGCTAAGAAGCAAAGCTAAGAAACAGAGACCCCAGAACTTCTGAAAAGACTCGGCAAGTTTATTAGGAAACAGGGTCATTGCTAGGAGGAGACGAGTCTACATTTTGTGAGGATGTGTCAACAGTGTCATTACCAGCTCCAGCCTCCTCCAGCATCTGCTTGTATTGACGCTTGAAGAACCCAACCTAGAGAGAAAAATAGAAAGAAGTGAAAGTAAGAGGAACAGAAAACAAACATGAGATTTCTCCTCCAGCAAAATGAGCATACCAGCCCTTAGCACAGGTTTTCCCAACTTTGACAACTATAGAATATGTGGACTTCAACTCCCAGAATTCTCCAGCCAGCCATGCTGGAATTCTTTTTTTTTTTTTTAAACCAAATTTTATTAATTTTTAAAGACAAACAAAACATCATTAAACATTGAAGACATTAAACCTCTTTCCATTATACATTTTTACAAGGCAGATAAAACATTGTTTTATACAATATAGTTCTGATATATCCCATTTCCACTTAAATATCTTTTAGCAGATTTCTCATTACTTCTCTTTGCTCTTAATCAGTTACACTTCTTCTATATTTATCTATTTTATAATCATCATATTCATATTTCCCTCTGTTATTATATCTCAAACAGACACACACACACAAAACACAAAAACATAAAACTTCTTTTTTAAAAAGTAGCTTGGCCCCGGATTACCTCTCTTTGTATGGACTTCAATTAAATTTATGCTCATCATATATACCATTACCTATCTTATTTACCATTCTATATCTTCATTATAACTTCCCCCCGCTTTCCACTCTTCTTAATTCTATTTTATTTATTTCATCTTAATTTAAATCATTATACTTGTATCTTTTGTCCATTCTTTTCCAATTATCCATATTATCTCATTCCCTATAGTAGAGAAAAAAAAAGATTTCTCCTGAAATCACTAATCGAAGTATGATGCCTTTCCATCACTCCCCTAAATTAACAATTAAGGTAACACCTAGTTCCCTATCTGATTCTGCTTAGTACATTCTACCTACTAATTTTTAAAAGAAAAAGAAAATAATAAATCCATAAAGTAATCAAATATATAATTAAACATTAAATCTTATAACATTCCAATTATCTATTTCAAAAACAAATGCTACAATAATAAGTTCATACTAACATCCAGACAATAGTCAATTAAACTCTATACTTAAACTAAATACTTTAAACATTCCTTTTAATATATTATTAAATCTTAAAATCTATCATTATTAAACCTTTAATGTTTCAATCTTTACTTAAGTCTTATAAAATTCTAATTTTCTATTTCTAATACAAATGCTACAATACTGTCTTATGTACCTTGCAGAATCCTTTTAAAACAAAATTATACGTTACCCTTTATCCCTAAAAAAATATTTCTTTTTAACATCTTGTTTCATACCTTTGTGGCTTCCCCCCCGCCCCCTTCTTCCTTCCTATCTTATCCCATCTGGTCTTTTTACCCCCCTTGACTTCCCCTCTCTGTTGTATTTCTCTTTTCTTTTGCTTTCTAACATTATATTGATTTTGCATCTTATTTTTCTCTTTCTTGGATGTTTTTTTAAGTCTTATGTCCTTTTTCCTTCCTCTCTTTCTCCTTCCTTTCTTAATCAACTTTGTGGATTCATTAAAGATGGCTTCTTCTTCTTCTTCTTCTTCTTCTTCTTCTTCTTCTTCTCTTCTTCTTCTTCTTCTTCTTCTTCTTCTTCTTCTTCTTCTTCTTCTTCTTCCTCCTCCTCCTCCTCCTCCTCCTCCTCCTCCTCCTCCTCCTCCTCCTCCTCCATCAACTGTTGTGTTTGCTGATAAGTAGTAAACGCCATTTCTAAAAAGCGAAAAATTTCTTTCACAGCGTCTTTGCCTTCTTTCTTGATTTTACCATATTCCTCCCTCAGTTCATCAACAGAACTTCTTTTCTTCTTCTTCTTTTTTTCTTCTTCTTCCTCTTAGAACAACCAAGATAATTCAAAGCTTAGAACAATTCCCCAAAATCCCAAAGTCATCAAACAATCCAAACAGAGCACAAAGTTCTTCCCTTCACACTTTTTCTTCCTGGGGTAATATCAATTGGAAAGGGAAAAAAAAATCAATTGGAAAGGGAAAAAAAACCCCAATCTGTATTTTAAAGTCTTATTGCGATTAACTTCCAATCTCAAAATCTTCCAGGCATCTCCTCCAACAAAATCTTAATATAGATTTTCCTTTTGTCCTCTCCCTTCCCACTTATAACAAAAAGCTTTAAATTTTTACCTTCTATAAAATAGCAGGCTTTTCAATATCCACTTGTTAATTCCATAGGGAAAGAGAGTAAACTTTCTCTTTCAGCACTTTCACTCGCCGCTTATAAATCTCTTCTGGAAACAAGTTATCTTTCAAAAAATCAGGATTTTCAGGATATTAAATGCATCTTATAGTCCCAGTTCAGCCAAAAAACTTTCGCTTCAAAACTTTCTCCTTCTTCCTCCAGCACAATCTTGTCCAGCTGCCGGCTTCTTTGTGGCGGCCATTACTGACCGCCGCTCCACCGCCTTGAGAAAAGGGGGTTATGCCGGGTGGGGAAGGGTTCTGCGAAAACCCCAAACCCCTGTCCAGATCCCCGCTGTCTTTGGCTGCCCTGTATCCTCCAGACCCGTCAGGATCGGAGGCACCAAGACGGCTAGCGCAACAGGGATTGCGCAGGATCGCGAAACCCCGCCGCCGCCGAAGCCTGGCAAACCGGAAGACTCCGCCATGCTGGAATTCTGTTGAAGTCCACGTATATTAAAGTTGCCAAAGTTGGAAAACCCTGCCTTGGTGCTTAAGAGAGCTGCCAAGACTCAGAGGGCTGTGAAAACTACACCTTGACATTTGGCCAAGGCCTTGATTCCTATCTCCAAGAAGGGTTGATAAACAGCTATATAATCCTTTGATGATAAATCTTTTGAACATGCAGACATAACTGCCTTTGTGCAGTTCAAAACATAATTGGGAAGGGTAGCAAGAACTCCATTCTCTACCCTTTCCCTCCCCAGGTTCCACTTCACCTTATACAAAGCTGCCGTTGACAGAGCTAGAAGGATTAAACCTCCAAAAGAGCTGCCAATGATAACGGGGAAGCTGTTGTAGATCTCGATCCGCTCCACCACTGTCTGCACCTGGGAATGGCAGGAAACACAAAGTCTTAGAAGTTGGACCCAATCTGGCAGCCCAGGCATCCAGGTGTCTAGGACCAGTTCTAGCCTTTAGACATCACTTTCCTCCAAGGATTGGGAAAGAAAGTCCTGAGACTCAGTTTCCTGTCTACACCTCACCTCTCCCCCTTTTTCTTTACCTGAGTTTGTGGAAAGCCCACTTGCTGTGTGTATTTTCTGTTGTTATAAGAAATCTGTGCGGAGCTCACCAAAATAATTGTCTTCTGTTGGACCTGGAAGAGAGATTCATTATTTTTGAAAGATGATGTGCTACTTGAGGAGGAGGAAGAAGAAGAAGAGGAGAAGCAAGAAGCAGAAGCAGAAGCAGAAGCAGAAGCAGAAGCAGAAGCAGAAGAAGCAGAAGCAGAAGCAGAAGCAGAAGCAGAAGAAGAAGAAGAAGAAGAAGAAGAAGAAGAAGAAGAAGAAGAAGAAGAAGAAGAAGAAGAAGAAGAAGAAGAAGAAGAAGAAGAAGAAGAAGCTACAGAGCAAGCTGAAGCTGGAAATCCTCTTCCGCACAAGAAATTTGAAGGTCCCAACCCTGTTGATTTTTCTGCAAAGCTTTAAAAACTTGGCTATTCACCTCAGTCTGGGACTCAGAATGTGTTAAGGGCCCTGTTACTTGGCTTTACTATTATTGGATTAATCATTGTGGCTGCTGTTATTTTATGGATACTTTTATTGCTTTAATGTTTTTTTAATTGTTTTAGAAATGTAAGTTGCCCAGAGTCACTTGGGTTGAGCAGCTATCAAATAAATAAATACATAAACCAAACTTTTCTAGATTTGGGGTGGAGCAGGACTAATTGTGAATATCTCACAGTTCAAGAAACCCAGCCCTTATACCTGGGATGTCCAACTGAAATGGATATCTCCTTTGATCCTGAACTCCAGTGCCCTTTTGTGTATCTTCAGTGGCAAAACATTACACTGGATGATTTTGCAAGAAGCGGTGGAACAATCCTGGGGGATGGAGAGAGAATAAAAAGCCAAGGCCATGATAAGATCAAAGGGAGGGAATCATACAAGGGCAAAATGGCCCTTGGCAAACTGCAATTCTGCACTATTAGTCCAAAATTAAATCCAAAACGATCTTTATAAATTAGATTCTTTTTTTTCAAGAATCCTTATTCCTACCTCAGGATTCTCATATTTATTTATGTAGCATATGGCAATTCTCATAAATCAATATATACAACTTCTCTCTGAAGGAACTGCAGAATTCAGCTTTTCTTTCTAAAGAAAAGGACCAGCATGCTCACCAATTGGGGCCTTGCCTCATCTGCCAGGAGATCCTTGGCGCCTTGAGTTTCTCTCTCAGAAACACACTTGGCCACTTCAGGCTGCAGAAAAAGAGACCCAGTCCTTAGTAACAGAAGGTGATGGATGGAGCAGAAGACAAATGGGGGCATATTTTGCTTCTCCTCTGTAAGACCTTTGCTTCTCCAAATCCTAGTTTCAATTAAGTTCCAGAAGAATCTTCAATTGGGCTTCGTACATCTTCAGATCTTTAGCAGAGGTTCAACTAAAGGACTTATTTAAAACAAGCCAGGAACCCAGTTCTCATTGTTGGGGAGTGGAGGAATTGTACTGATTCAACCTGATCTAAAATAGGGTCTTCTACAAATGCACTAAACACCCACATAGATTTCCTTTCTTACCAAACCAAAGCAGGTTAATGAGTCAGAGTAGCCCAGCCTGAGGTGAAGTGGGTCAAATCACATCACAAGATGAAGTGCTTCAATAAATGTCATGGTCAGCAACCGATCCAGGGAGGCTAAATATCTCCAGCACATATTTTCCCAACCAGGGGGTTCCTCAGTGGAATGTCCACAACAAAATAATCCAAGATAGATAGCATACCTCAGAAGGAATGACTAGAGAGACATTCCAAACTGGGATCCCTTTCAGTTTTACTGGGATCCAAAATGTCACCTTGAAAGGGATGCTTCGTTCATGAAGATTCTTCACCTGAAAAAACAAAAACAAATTCTGATCGTTTTCACCAATTTTCCACCAGAAAGAAGTCCTCCCTCCCTTCCGGTGCTGTTCTCCAAGAAAGTAGGGAAAAAGTGGTAGCAGCAGAGGTCATAAAGTAGGCCATGACTTCAATTCCCAGAATTCCCTAGCCCCAGCTTTCTCCTTTTCCCACCAACCCCCAGACTATAGTTTCTTATTCCTTTTGCCCTTCACCTGATATCGATGTTCAACAATCTTTTGTGTGCCTTCTTGGCCAACGGTGAAGTTCACATACTTGGTGGATTCCTCACCCCTGAGAAGATTTAACAGAGACAAGAATTTTGGTAGAAATGGAAGATTCCAAGACAGCATCCTTGAGAGAAGGATGAGGTTTGCAGAGTCCACTTCTATTTCCTTTTTAAAATATCCATAGTCACTTACATGTTGATAAGGAGATATATTGCATATCTGACAGGCAAAGTGGCTTCATAACTAATGTCCTTGGTGCTGTTGTCCTCATTTTCACTGAACAAGTGGAAGAAAAAATGATTTTATTTAATCCAGAAATTTTAAAGCAATCTACATTATTCTATCACCTGATGATTTTTACATCTCCGTCCTCTGTAGCAAAAACGGTTTGATATAGTGTGAATCTTTAGCTCCTTTTTTCCTCTCCGTCTTGTCTGTCTTAATATGAAGCTTCCTTCATTTTTCCCATGGGGCAGTATTCTTAAAACTTTAAAATTTGTAATATTTCATAGCCCTGGAAAACTGAGCAAGAGGTCTACAGAATTAGTACAGGTAAGTTAAAAATTAAATCTCAGTATGATAAGAACACCCTACTATAGATAAGTATACAGTGTTTTTGACCTCTTTGTAAATCACCCTATTTCATCTAAATATTTTTCTGCTGCCCTTGAAATGACGAAGGAGGCCAGCAACGTTTTACAAAAATATGATTTACATTCATGCATTTTCAAACATTTGAGGATCACAATCTACCTAAATTTACCTTCTTTTAGTACTAGATCACCACTGAAGACATTAAACTTGTCCTCATGAGCCATGGCGGCACATGGTTAGAATGCAGTATCGCAGGCTAATTCTGCCGACTTCCAGAAATTCAATTCTGACTGGCTCAGGGTTGACTCAGACTTCTGTCCCTTCCAGGTCGGTAAAATGAAGACCCAAATTGTTGGGGGCAATATGCTAACATTTGTTAATTGCTCAGAAAGGGCTATAAAGTACCTTGAAGCAATATACAAGTAAGTGCTGTTGTTATTGCTATTGCTTACATATAACACTAGGCAACCTTTTTAGGTTTCATTATTTTTCTACATACTGCAGTGCATACTCAACTGCAATAGCTTCATTGACCTCAGGGTCTTCTGTTTTTTATTTCCCTAATGAGAAATTCCTAATAAGTATTCAGAGAAATCTCAGGGCACCCCAATAAGACAGCTTAAAAGCTGTGCAGTAGAGTATCTCATACTGCAGGGTTAGCATCCAAATAATTCATATCTTGAAATAATATCAGGGGGATCCTTGGTGCTCTTTGAATTTGGCTGTTTTCTTGCAAATGTTTCATTACCAAACTAGGTAACATCATCAGTGCTAGTCAAGTCTAGCACTAATGATGTTATCTAGTTTGGATAATGAAACACCTGCAAGAAAACAACCAAGCTCAGAGAACAGCAAGGACCTCTCATTTCAACTCTACAAATATTCTCCTTTATTGACAGTAATTTCAGTAACACACACACAAACACACACAAACACACACACAAACACACACACACACACACACAAACACACACACACATTATCATGGTCTTATTGTTGGCCACTACCGTCCTCCACCCTCAAAAGCAATTGAATAATGTTGGCTTTTATTAACCCATAAAATCCAGGAGCATGGGTGATACCTGTCAGCTTTGACCACAATCTGCAGGGTGTCCCCTAGGTCAGCATCTGGGGAGACATCAAAAGTAGCAACAAAAATAGCCTGAAACATGCAAAGATGGAGAGAGTAAGTGGGGTACAGCTGCAGTCCTCCTCAACTGTTGTGGCAGTCAACACAAATAGAAAAAAAGGCAGCAGTTTCCCACCTCTGCTCCACTCCAGAAAATAGGGTGGTTGATGTTACAGGTGACGTTCCAGCTGGCCGCTTCTTCCAGGGCAGGGGATGAATGGCATTGGACTCGCGTCACCTTCCTGCTGGCCTAAGACAGGAGTTACACACAAAGTTTTGAGAGGTGGAACATAATTTCAGCATTACTAGGTAGCCCAGACAGCAAACACAACCAGGTAAACAAATTCTACTTTAGTATAAAGCTACATTAACAGAATCTATCAGGTCTGAAAGTGCAGTTCTCCCAATGTCACCTTTACAGCTTGATTAAGGAGAGTCCCTACTGAACCTCTTGGTCCACCCAATATGCTGCTCTGGGCTATGCTGTCTCTTATCTGAGCAACAAAGAGCAACAAAGATGATTAGGGGACTGGAGGCTAAAACATATAAAGAATAGTTCCTGGAATTGGGTATGTCTAGTTTGATGAAAAGAAGGACTGGGGTGACATGATAGCATGCTTCAATATATTCTGTAAGCCGCCTTGAGCCACTATGAGCGAATAGGTGGCAATATAAATTTAATAATAAATAAAATAAATAAATAGTTGAGAGGCTGCCACAAAGAAGAGGGAGTCGACCTATTCTCCAAACAAAGCACTAATCAAGTGAAAACTAATCAAGGAGAGAAGCAACCTAGAACTAAGAATAAATTTCCTGGCAGAACCAGTGGAAACCATTAACCAGTGGAAAAAAACTGCCTCCGGAAGCTGTGACTGCTCCAACACTGGAAGTTTTTAAGACGAGATTGGACAAAAATTTGTCTGAAACAGTATAGGTTTCCTGCCTGAACAGGGGGTTGGACTAGAAGACCTCCAAGGTCCCTTCCATCTCTGTTATTCTATTCTATTCTGTTCTATTATATATTATTGTTTATATATAAATATATTGAATACAACAGTGTAATTGTCCTGGCATTCTGTTCTATTCTATTATCTATTTCCTAGGTATACCTAGTCTCCCTGGGTCTTTTCCCACATTCCAAGATATATAGCAATCCAACTAGATCTGCCTCTATTCTACACCTCTGCTGGCATCCTTTATTCCCTTACCTGTTGCAGCAAGGTGACTTTGCGGTAGGACAGCCCTGCAGGGTAGAAGAAGCGTAGAGTGCTGCTATAGGAGTCCTCCCCTTGGTTCTGAAGGGAGGCTGTTACAGTGAACTCGGGAGTCAAACCCACATCTAAAGTTTGCAGGCTGAGTGGGAGTGAAGGAAAGAATCTCTGTGTCCTAATTAGAAGTCTCAGATTATGAAGGTCTCACATAGGCCAGGATGTTTGATGAATCAATAAAAGAAAATCAATACTTTCAGTACTTGCAATTATAGAGGTAGTTGTAAGTTGAGAACTACAATTATAATTGTTTTTCCAATTACAACAGCCCTGAAATTAAATTGAACTTATGACTGTTTTTTACATGTATGACCATTGCAACACTCCCATGGTGAGGTGATAGAAATTCAGATGCTTGACTGACTCATATTTATGACGGTTGAAATGTCCCAGGGTCATGTGGCTCCCTTTTGCAAACTTCTGCCAAGCAAAGTCATTGGGGAAACCAGATTCATTTAACAACCATCTTACTAATTTAACAACTGCAGTGATTCACTTAACAAAGAGTTGCAAGAAAGGTCATAAAATGGGGTGAAATTTACTTACAACTGACTTGCTTAACAACAAAAAATTGGGGCTATATACAGATTGGTGTGCAAAGCAGTACTATTAATATAGCCATAAAGGAACAAATAGAAGTTTAAATTTTAAAATCTAAACCGAGTGCTAAGGCAGGGCACTAAAAAATGTTTTTGTTATAGAAACCTTCCTAAAGTTGTTACAAAGGGTAATTTGGTAAAGCATTCGGAATTTGGTAAAGCATTCAGCTAAGGTATGCATAGATCAGTGTTTCTCAATCTTGGTAATTTAAGAGGTATGGACTTCAACTCCCAGAATTCCCCAGCCAGACAGTTGAAGTCCATACCTCTTAAGTTACCAAAGTTGAGAAAGACTGCCATAGATAAAAGAAATATAAGGCAGAAGGTGTGCAATGAAATATTTCCCTTACCCTGAGAAAGTAAATGAGGTTTGCAAAATATCTTCACATAGTCCATTATTCCCACAGTTCTTCTCAAAGGGAAGCTGAAAGAAAGACACACAGAGAGTGGGGGGGGGGAAGAGGGAGAGAGAGAGAGAGAGAACTTAAAGACAAAGTACACCTCAGTTTTGATGGTTTAACTATTCCTTGAACCTTGCACCAATATTCTCTTCCTTTATGGCATTGGTTTTCTTATCCATGATAATCATTTACAGTGCAGTCACTGTACGGTAACGGAAAGACAAGTCAAAAATCACCATGAGAGTTAATGGCATTTAATAAGGGGAACCCAGAGCTCATATGCATCTGACCAACTTCTCCTTCCTTCTTGCTAAATGGAAATTTCTGAAAGTGACAACTGCTGCCCCTACTGCTCTGCTGTAGCCCCACTTGCTGCTGATGTGTGATCTTCTGTTACTACCTAACATGTCTAACTTGCTTTGTTCCTCTCCACCACTCAGTTGTGTATAGAGGAGGGGACTTACTTGATCCTACAGGTGGCTAACAATTTTACTTGATTATTTGATTAATGGCCTGCCTTTTCCTTATACAGGAGTGTCAGGTGGCGTACCTAATGCTTCCTTCTCCCATCTGTCCTCACAACAGCAACCCTATGAGGTAGGTTGGGCTCAGAGAGAGGGACTGACCCAAAGTCACTGTGGTGAGCTTCCACAGCTGAGGTGGGGACCAGATCTTGGATCTCTCTGCTTCTAAGTCCAACCTCTTCACCACTGAATGTCTATGGAGATTCTCAGTCATCCAGGTCATGGTTGTCCCAAAGGTGCTTTTTCAAAAAGCAACTGGATTTTCTCTGACTTTTCTTGAAGACGTTTCACTTCTCATCCAAGAAGCTTCCCTTCTTTCATTCCACATCCTTCCATTCTCCACCATTCACTCAGGACTGAAGAAGCTTCTTGGATGAGAAGCGAAACATCTTCAAGCAAAAACAAAATCCAGTAGCCTTTTGAAAAACCACCTTGGGGGCGACCTTCACCGCTACACACCCTGGTTTTTGGAGGGAGGGAGGGAGGGAGGGAGGGAGGGAGAGAGAGACTGCCCCAAAGACCCCGAAGGACTTCTGTGGCCAGGATGGGGGAAGAACAAGAACTTGGATCTCCCCATTCCTACTCCAACACCGTCTCACTGCTATATAACATGGTTCTTGGATTAAGAGAGATTAACCCAAAGTGCTCCGAGAAGTTTCTATGGTTGAGAAGTCTGTAGAGATTCTCAGTCATCCAGGTCATGGTGGTCCCAAAGGTGCTTTTTCAGGAGGCAAGTGGACTTTCTGGTTTT